AATTAACACATACTTTTTACACTAATTAGGGAGTATTATTTGGTATAACTTTTTAAAATTAGCAATTAATAATCTTGTTTGATTTGATAATAGCTAGTATTTATTATTATTAATTAATTGCAACACTCTTATTTATTGATTAAATGAGAAATGTTTACTCTTTGTGGTTTAATTGATCATCATTAATTGCAAGTAGAAGATGTAGTACAATTTTGCAAAGCAGGTTGCTAGGGAAACCTTGCTAGTTAAAGCCTTCGGGCAAATCTAGGATGCATAAATTACAGTGGTAACACTCACCTCTTTCTTTGCAATGCCAACAGTGCCCTGTTGGAGTCAACCACATTATGAGGAAAATGTCTATGGGATATGCATGATTACTGATGTATATAGCCCTCTTATTAGAGAACTCAGTTCCTTCAATCTTCACTGGATTTCCTAAGATCCACATCTACAATCAATAAACATTCAAAATTTCAATTATCTAACAGGAAAGTGACCTAAACATTATTGAATTTAACAGTATTAGGCTATCACCATCTATCTGTATGTTAATGTTTAGAATGTCGATGACTCCTCCACTTTCAAAAAATCCAAAAATTAGACGAAAATATTACACAAATCAAATTTTCCTTTAAAATTTTATGTGGTGCAATTCTTCCAATTTGCAGTGTCAACTGTAAAGTACCTTAACTATGTACAAGCGCTCTATGTCGGTTTGTGGATTTTACTCTGAAATCATAAGTTTTCTTTAGGTGTCAGAACTGAGGTTGGACAACTCCTATGAAGCCACCAAATCACATGTCACCTAGGTTTCATTAAAGTCACCATTTTTCTTCCCAATGCAGCAATATCCAATGTTTTATTCAATTTCACTATCCAAATACTATCGAATGGACCACCCAATCCATAAGCCGCCCCCCATCTTATCTCTTTTCAGGATAACATAAATGAAAGGAGAATAAACATAAATGAGCACTTTCTGAACTCAATAAATCTTCTTGAGATAGCATACCAAAATTAATTCCAAGCTTTGACCAAATATCTGGGAACATTACCTACATATCTACACTCTCAAAGTTTATCTTCTGATGGATGTACCATCTTCTTAAATTTGCTTGAGATGTTTCCGCTACCAAAATAAATGAAGAGAAATTTAAGTGAAACAAACAGCAAAAAAAATTTGTCAAAAAGGAGGAAACTTTTGATTGCTGAGGTAAGAAGAAATCCTAAAATATTCCCTGAAACAGTAGACAAATGAACTTGTACTTTTGTCCATGTAGATATGGCTTTCCAATAAATGAAGCAAAAAAAGGTAAAGTTTCAGAGTTTCCCCAATTCCTTTTCTTTCTTTGTTTTTTCCCTCATGCTTATCAGCAACCACAAGAAATTCAGAAACAACTAAACGCACCAACTAATTTCCTTTCATGTTCATAAAATGTTTTAAAAGACCAAATACCAAAAGATTCTACTTCCAAATTTTCTAGGAATCAAGAAATGCATACCATCAATCTACCAGTCACATGGCAATAGATATTTCCTTGCCGGACTCTCTGATAAGGTCAGGGCAGGAGCACAAGCATAATCAACGCCCAGATGAATGTTGTGACCATCATTTTAACAAAACAGGTGACGATCCTCACACAAGATATCAGTGCCGATATCCCTCCATCATCATCAACATAAACATCTTTCAGAGGCCTCTGCACTGCTACTTCCTTCCCTGAATTTTTCCAGGTTTCCCTTACATTTGGGATAGAATTTGTATGGAGGAAGCTCTCTAATCTTCTATTTCTTGGAAAGAACTACCTCCAATATTTTCCATCAGTTGCTGGTAAAAATCTGGTAGGCATGAGTGAAGCCAATGTGTTAAAAAGAGATTAACATGAAGAAAACAATAACTGAACAACTTGTAAGAGAAATTGACTGATTAATAAGCAAGCTGCTTGGTTGCTTGAAAGAGAAAGGAATTGAAACCTTGTAAATTAATATCTCTTATTTAGAATAAATTCTTGGGGAAAGCTTTGATTTAATTAATAATCCCAGAAACTAGCTACAGATTTAGAGAATCAGTGAAATTCTTCAAAATTTAGATTCCCTCCCTTTTCTGTAGTTTTCCCAACCAAACAAGGGGAATCGTAGCTAAGTCCTAGTCAAACAGCAAAGCAGAAGTTGAAAAAAGCATAGTTGAACCGTGAAGCCACACTAAAACTGGTTAAAAAGAGAAAAGTTTAAAACTTGAGATAAAAAAAGAGAAAACCCAATAATTTTCCCTTTGGTTGCCGAGCAACCGTATAACTTTATACAACCAAAATAGAAAAACAACAATAATCTCATATTTTTGCCTTGAGTTCCCAGAAAACAAACAAAAGGAAGCACCTTTAATCCAAACAAGCCAAACCCAAGTATATCTAGATAGAATTGAAAAGAAACAAGCTTTTTTTTTTCTTTTTTTTTTTTGTGCGTACTTTTCTCAGCAACCAAACAAAAACCCAGAGAATATTTTCTTCACGTTCTTCGACTCTTGAAAAGCACTAACCGAACATTCCTCACTAGATACCATGATGACTACCTTTTACCTTGTATAGTTACTGATAGCATAGGAACCTTGTTCCTCAAGACTTAACTCTGTTTAGTTTTTTATCTACCAAAAAAAAAAAAACCTACTTGATAATGTTTTAAAATGATTATAAAATTAAAATTTTATTTTTAAAAAAATTTAAATATTTTACGTTTAATATTATTATTGTTAAGCAACTTATTATTGTTTATAACTTTATGATTTTTTTTTTAATTTAATTGTTTGTGTTTGACACTATAAAATACTTAATTTTAATGAATTACAATACTTTAATTAGATTCAGATATATATCATTTTATTTGTATATAATAAAATTAATAAAAAGTAATTATAAAAATTAAAAATAAGATGAACTCACGAGTTAATCTGTAATCCGTTAGGGGTCTGGTTACAACTTTTTCAACCCGCAATCTATTTATAACTCAACTCATATAACCCGTCACTCGAGTTGAATTAACCCCCGTTTGCCAAATCTATATAGTTGTATGTACCTCTCCAATTTCCTTGGGAAACTGACGCAGAGAATGGAGAAATGGGACTGACCCAGGAAGCCGTCTAAATAATATATGACACGAGCTTAGTAGACTTCAGAATCAGGGGAATTTTAAAGGTGAAGACTTTTTTTATCAAAACAAAAACATAGCGAGAAAATGCGGCGGTAAGAGGATTGAGAAATGTGAAGTTGCAATAAAACCAGTTTGGAATTAAATTTCCTTTATCAAATTTGAAACTCTTGGGCCATTATTTTCAGTAAAGATTGGATTTTTGGTGTAAAGTTCATGTCTTTTATTACTTCTTCTTCTTTTTTTTTTTATGGAAACGGGAAGCATATTCCAAGCAAATACTATAACTGTACCCTTGACTCGTCCCCAAATCAATTTCCCAACGAAATTATGCTGAATCTAAATCAATTTAAAAAAAAAAAAAAAGAGAGAGAGAGAGAGAGAGGGTAAAGGCCGTGATTAACAGGCCCGTTAGGGAGGTGCTATTTTAACAGAAAAGGAGTCGACATAGCGACCCAATCCCCACTAGCATGCAAAGCAGAACCGCGAGGAAAAGTTTTTTAGGAGGGCCCACAAAATATGGTGCTAAGGCTAGGCCCAATGTAATAAAAAAATCTTTAAGCCCAGATCTATCTCTCTTCCTTTTTTCATTTTACTTTTTTTAAAGTAAATATCTATCTCTCCTCTTTTCTCGGATGAAAATTCCATTCCTTGTTGTTGGTCCGGTTCCGGCCCAGAGTCCAATAAAACAAAACAAACTTTTTAGGCTATATTAGGATAAAAATTAGCAAAGGAAAGGAATGAGAGAGGAGGGGAAGAAAAGAGAAGAGAAGTGAAGGGAAGTAAAAGATGGATTTTATTTTTCTTTGGATAAATAAAAGTGAAGGAGATAGTAGGATAATATTTTTATTTAATTAAATAAGTTAATAAAAAATAAAATAAAGAATAATAAAATTCTTAAAATTTATTAATTAAATAAATAGTTAAAATAAAATATTTATATAAAAAAAGATTTAAAACAATAATAAATTAAATAATGTAATTCGTCTCACTCTCTAAATCAAAGAGATTGAAAACAGAGGAGGGGAGGAAACTCTGTCTCCCTCTCTATCTCCCTTTCCTCCATTAAAATTATTTATTCAAACAAAAAAAAGGAGCTCTCTCCCCCTCACTCTCCTTTCCTCCCCCTCCAACTCCATCAATCCAAATAAAATGTTAAATTGGTCTTACATGGACCTCGCAGTGGACTAGACCTTTGTTGGCAAAAACCTACTCTTGGTCCTTTACTTTATTAGCTTGATAGATTTTAACTTTCACTTATATTATGACACTTTTAGTCTTTCACCTATTAGAATTAGAAAAAATAATCTTACTTTATAATATTTTGTTAGTTCTGTTAAGTGACTGCTAATTCTGTTAGCTAAAAGTAGATATTTACCAACTAACAGTCAAATAACAAAATTAACAATCAGCTAACAGAATAATTCTGTTAGCTAATTGTTAACTTTATTAGTTAAAAATAGGTTTTTACCAACTAACAGTCAGCTAATAATCAGTTAATAGAGTTAATAGTCAACTAATAAAACTAACAAAATATTGTAAGTGAATGCTATTTTTTTTAATTTTAATAAGTGAAGGGTTAAAAATGTTATAGTATAAAATGAGAGATTAAAATCTTCAAATCTAATAAAGTAAAAGGTTAAAAATAAACTTTTGCCACCTATATTCGCTAAATTTTGTAGCATCGGATATTAGTATACTTGCCAACCACGTTCATAGCCGAGCTAAGGTTCACTGGTGTGGCACATTGGTCCTAATTTCGAATTTGACTATTAGTATTAATTTTTTATTTTTCAATATATAATTACAATGTAATTGCTTGGTTAAAAAAAAAAGAATTTAAGTATACTTAATAGATGTTAATGCATATTAGCTCTGATTTTTAAAAATTTAGAATTTCAACTTATATTTAAAAATCAAAATTTAAATTTAAATTTTAAAAATCCATTCTATTAAATAATAATGTTTAAATTTGGAAACTGATTATATATTTTAATATAGTTAGTTTTTAAATCTAAATATCAATACTTAATAAGAAAGATTTTTAAATTATGAATTAAGTTTTAATTAAATAAAAAACGTAATTTAAGGTTAAATTTTCAATTTATTTTGGAAGTTAAGATTAATATGTACTTTTTCCTATTTGAAATTGTTAAATGTAAATCATTTATCTTTTTAAATTTTATAATGGTTAAAGAATTTAAATATTTCTACTAAAAGGAAAACTTGTAATGAGTCATGATAATTCATATTTTGATTATAAATAGTTGATAGTTATTTCTTTTTATTATATTTTTTAAAAAATAATTATCATTTAACAAATGCATAATTATTCAGAGGATAAAATTGATATATTTTTAAAGAATTAAAAAAAAAAAATTGGAAGGGATTTTTAAATTCATGAAATTTATCTAGTTTTATTTATATAACAATGATATGGCATAAATAAATGTACTAATAGTTCAAGTGAAAGAAACTTAATTTTTTTAAAATAAAATTTTAAATTTGAATTTTATAAATGAAAATATGAAAATATAAATACTAAAAGACATTTTCCTTTGAGATTTGATTTGATTTAATTTTAAATTAATTAAAATTAAATGTGGTTTATGAATATTAATAAATTAAGTTTAAAAAAAAATTAACGATAGGATAGAACGGAATGCTTTCCCCTTAGGGCTAGGAGTTTCTGCTCTATTTAGGTTTTCAGTAATAAATGGTGTCGGGCATATGCTCTTGGTCGGTTTTGGAGTAAATTGTCCCCTGTTTTAATGAATAGGCTTCTCTTTTCAACGGTTTTCTAGTTAATTTGTCTTATTTTTACGAAATAAAACTACTTAATAATTACACATGATTGTACTTTATCTGTCCTGAAATAATATACATTTTTTGTTTTTATTTTAGAATTAAAGATTTAAAAATCATTTATATTTATATTTATTTTATTTTTAAAAAATAAAAATAAAAAAATTTTAATAATAAAATAGATCGTTATAATTTTAAAAAAAATATTTATCTGCATTAAAATTTTAAAAATATTATTATTTTAAAATAAATTTTAAATTAAAAAAATTATTATTCATTAACAGAGGGAGTATAAATTTTTTTAAAAAAATTTGTCATTCATTTATCTTGCAAGATTGTTACTTAAAATTATGTATTCTTTTTGTTTAACTTTAGTAGACCTTTTTTGAAATTTAGGACATTCAGATTTAATTATTCATTTTTTTAAGATATAATTTAATATGTTTACTCACATTTTATGTTAATTTTTTTTAAAAAAATTATTACAATTTTAAATAAAAATTTTTATTTAAGTGATTTTTAATTAAAAATATTAAATTTTATTAATAAATTATTATGTCTTTGTTTTATTTTTTTTGAACTGATGTCTTTGTTTTATTAGATGAA